GTGGCCCGGGAGTGGGGTTCTGGGAAGTGGAAGAGCACGAAGTGGCCTACAGTTGGCTCCGGGCATTCAAAATGTTGCCCGGGAATGGTGTTCTGGGAAGTCCAAGAGCACGAAGTGGCCTACAGTTGGCTCCAGGCATCTAAAATGTGGCTGTCCGGCTCCCGCCCAGACCCCCCTAGGGAGTCATCAGATGCTCTCTTTTGACCCCATTAGAAACCTATCAGTCTTCGCTGTTAGGTAAAAAAGCCCCTGGGGAAGCGGTCGGGACCGCGGGGCCGCTGATCGAAGACACCAGATCGGCGGGATGTCCGGGGAGTCGCCGCTCGTCACAGCCACGCTTTCGCGGACACGCCCGAAGAGAGGGTGGGAGAGGAAGTCCTCGTCGGCTCAGGGCTTCCTCTCCTCTGGGCGCTCCCCGAGGCTTAAGCAACACCCCCGTCACTGCATCTGCTGCTGCTGCTGCCCCTCAGGGGGCGGTTGTCAAAGATGGCGCGAGCATCGCCCCTGCGAGACGGAACCCCTAACGGGGACAACTGTCGATGCTTTGGCCACCTCCGGCAGCTGCGCCTCTTGCCGTGGGCCTACTGGCCGGGGCGCCCGCGACGCGTCCCGCACGGCCGCGGGAGGCCCGAGGCAGGAGGGAGGATCGGGCACGCGCCACAGTGGAGACCCATGCCAAGAAACACCCTGCTTGCCTCCAGGGTGCCCTGGGTGTCTCGGTTTTCGATGGTTTTGCGATGGAAAGCGTGACGTTCGCACACTAAACATCCGTGGACGTGCTGGGGTCTCAGGGTTGGTTTTTTCGTGGAAGGTTTCTTGTGGTCGAGCCCCTACCATGGGCAGCACCAGTGGGCCTGGTGCCCCAGACATCGGGCGTATCGAACAAGATCGAGACGGACGTTCCTCGTCGTTTTCGGCCTCTCGGGGGCCCCATCGCGGGACTCGGGCCGTCAAAAGACGACTCGGGATGAAAAACTGGTTTCGGGGAAGTGGTTGGGAGGTCGGGGGACCGCGTCTCGAAAAAATCGAGACATCGGATGTCTGGGTCGTGCGTCCGGAAACGCAGCACGTGCCACTTTCAAAACGTCCTCGTTGACACGTTGCGTGTGGGCTCACCGTGTTGGCCCCGCGTTTTGGCGAACGCATCGCGCCAGGCATGCGCTTTCGGCCCACGTGTTGGGCTTCGTGCCAACACGTTCCGGAATGCGTGTTGCGTAGCGGGGGGGCTCTAAGTTCCTGGGCCATTGTCCCCGACCCGGGTCACGTCCGATACGCGCCCCGGCCATCCCTGCCGATGCTCAAGCAGTGCACCGGCACTCCTTCCGCAACCCTCCAAACACAACGGCCTGCTGAGGCACCTCGGCTTCGGGACGCCCAGTCGCGCAGCGAGGAGCCCGCGGGAACGGCTGCCTCTCGCAAGCCGCCTGGGGAGGGTGGCCGCTGGTGTGCGGCCTGCCGCTCGCTGGGAGCGGCGCAGCGGTGGCGGCCCCCACCAACAGGAAAAACACCCGGCTAGGTGGCCCCCTCAGAAATCGTGGGGGGTAGGGGTAGGGTTCGCATGTGGCCTCGGCGGGCGTCGGCGCACCGCGCGGGCCCCCGGCGGGCGTCTCGGGTCTCGTTGCACGGCGAGGCCCGCAGGGCCACGGGGCCTCGGGCGGGGTCTCCGGGCCCTTCGGGCCCCTGGGAGGCCTAGGCATCGACGCGGGGGGGGAGGGACGCAGGAGGGACCGGGGAGGTGCATCGTCGGGGAGGGCAGGGGGGAAGGAAAGGAGAGGGGGAGGGGAGGGAAGCAAGAAGGGGGGCGGGGCGGCGTCGTCCGCCTCTGGCCCCTGCGGTAAATGGGCTCTGAATGCCCCCGCTTCGACCCGGAAGGGCCACTCTGGGGGCCCCTTTTCTGCGGCCCTCGCTGCCCCTACGATTCTATCGCCCCCCCCATTACGCGACGCCCAGGGGAGGTGATGGTGCGGCCAGTGCGTTGGGAGCAGAGAGACGTCTCTGCGCGCGCGGGCGCGAGTGGCGGCGCGCTGACCTGCGTTCCTTTCCTCTCCCCCCGTCGCCTTGTCGTTTGTTCCCCTCTCTGCGCTTTCGTGTCCACGTCGTCGTCCACGTCGTCGTCGTCGTCGTCGTCCTCTGGCCTTTTCAGCGCTGGGTTATCACTGATCCGAGGCCCAGCAACCCCATGGTGTTCTCTCAGTTGTGCCCGTGGGCGTGTAATTAGGCCGCGGCGCCTCCCGCGCCCCCAGGGTCCAGGGCCTCAGAGGTGCACTGGCAGCCTGTCATGGCAACTCTGGGCTCAGGAGGAGCTCTGGTTCTCGGTCTGTTCCCTAAGGTCGGGAGCTTCACTGCTCAGCGTCTCGCTTGCCAAGCTTGGCGCTGCCATTGCGTGGAGAGGCGCAGGCCAAGGCCATTTTGCCTGCTGCCACCTTCGCCAGTCTCGAGGCGCTCACCGCCCTGCTCGGCAAGGCCGCTACGCGCTTCGGCCTCGACTTCACGGCGCGGACAGCCGGTGCGACCGCCAGGTTGGCTGAGGCCGAGGCCAAGGTGCAGGACAGTCGGCCTCCCCCTGTGGCTGCTCCTGCTGCAGGGGCTGCTGGCGCTGCTGGTGGTCCTCCTCCTCCTCCTCCGCCTCCTCCTCCTCCTCCTCCTCCTCTTCTTGGGGGAGCACCTCCTGACGCAGGCGGCGGAGGCGGAGGCAGCAACCAGATGCAGGTGGACGCCAAGGTCGAGGTCGATCCTGACGACGACGGCGTCGCTGTTGCATTCACCGCTGCCGGCATGGACGTCCCGGTGGACACGACAAAGCCCCGCCGCTTCTGGTCCACGACGCTGCGGCGCGACTCGCGAACCAAACCTTGGGCCTCATGCGTCAAGCTCCAAGCCTCTTTGCCAGCATCCCGCCCGCGAAGCTGAGCGACACGCCATCAGCTTGCTTGCAGGGCACAGCGTGTCGCCGCGGCCGCCGCTACAACACTCGAGGCAGAAGTTCATGACCGCAGATCCGACCCCCCCCCTCGATGGGAAAGTAATGAAACCTTTGCAGGTCGGGTCGAAAAATCGTCCATGGGTCTTCCCTGAGGGTAGTTTTTCATCCTGGGTCCGTTCCTGACGGCCCCAGAACCCAACACTAACCCTGGAGGCCGAAAACTACAAACAAAATGAAGACGACGAAACCACACTTTTTGCGTCGGCGGCGAGGCAGGGGAAGTCTGCGCTAGCGGACAGGCCTAAACGGGGGTGCCATCGGGGCAGATTGTGCCACCATGCAAGAGGGGGAGCAGGAGGAGGACGCGGCCGAAAGAGGGGGCGGATGCGGCGACGAAATCGGACAGGTCGACGGTCAAAGTCGGGCCGTGCAGGTCACCCGCGAGGGCGCGACGACGATCGCGCTTCGCGCCTCGCGCGGCCAGGGCCACAGCGGGCCTCTCTCTCTCTCCCAGGGGGCGGCGCGAGGTCGCGAAGATCGTCGCGCGCCGCGCATCGTTCAGGCTCTCGCAGAAATGCCTCCTTCTCCTCCTCCTCCTCCTCCTCCTCCTCCTCCTCCTCCTCCTCGCCCTCCTGATCCTCGGGATCCTGCTCTTTAAGAGCCATGCTCAGGCGCTCGCAAACATGGATCAAGGGGGCGTGGATTAGCGACGGGTCTCGTTTCCAGGGGAAACCGCGGATTTCCGCCGAGCGAGGCGGCACCGGGCACCGGCCGCATTTTGGGGAGGGCACCTCCCCCCATGGACTTGGCGACCGCGCGCCAAATGCAGGGACCGCTAATCCATGTTTGCGTGCCCCCGAACCGTGGGGCGCGATGCGCGAAGTTGGGTGACACAGATCGGCGGCGAGCGAGGGGGGGGAAGCGAGAAGGAGACGGCATTCTCAGAAGGCGGCGGGGGTTCTCAGCAGCCCTCGCGGCTTCTGGCACGTTTCCCCGCGTCTTCGGGGAAGGCCCAGAGCATGTCTCAGAAGGCCTGAGGGACGTCCGAGCCTTCTGAGAAGGCCCGCCCCTTCTCACTCCCCCCCAGGTTTCGTCTTTGGGCGGCATATAGGTTCAGGTAGGGGAGCCTGTGCGTGGTCGAGGCTCGCCGTGGCCAGAACGGCCCCATTCGTTCTATGTTTGGGCGTTCCTCCTGGTGGCACGATGAAGGCACGTCTCCTTAACCCTGCCGCCTCCATCTCTTGGCAATTCCCCTCCTTCTCCTCGTCCTCCTTCCCCTCCTCGGCTGCGCGCGTCTTCTCTTGTATTTGACACGATGGTCCTCTTCCTCCTCCTCCTCCTCCTCCACCTCCACATCCTCCTCCCTCTTCCTCTCCGTCTTGTCATAGGAGCACGACAGCAACGGTGGTGTCCGCTCGCAGGTACGGATGGGATTGGCGAACAGCGCATGCGAGAGGAGTGCTCATGCTCGCTCTCCTCGTCCTCGTTCCTGTTCCTCGGCCATTATGTTCCTTCTCCTCGCTCTCCTCCTCCTCCCCACCCCAGCCCCAGGTCTCGCCGGATCGGGGCCATCGCAATGTTGTGACCGATTGCAGGGGCGATTTGTGGATGTGCATCTGCCAGCGAGGCGGATGAGCTGCCTCTGGCGCTCGCCTTGCAAAGCGTGGGACCGCATGCGAGTCTTTCTCCGAGCCTCACAAAAGCGATGAATATGAGGCCGCTCGGCACATGGCTCCATCCCCAAAGGGCGGGACTTACGACTGGCCAGTAAATGTGGCTCCCCACCTGGCTGGGGTAACACATCCCCGCCTCCTCTGCCTCCGCGATCAGTCCCATCCTCCTCCTCCTCCGCCTCCTCGATCAGTCCCATCCTCCTCCTCCGTCTCCTCGATTAGTCCCATCCTGCTCCGCCTCCTCGATCAGTCCCCCCCTCTTCCTCCTCCTCCTCGACACCCCTCGCTATTCCCTCGTCCTCCTCCTCCTCCTCCTCCTCCTTCTCCTCCTCCCCCACTCTTCTCCTCTTGGCTTCCTCATCCTCCTCCTCCTCGTCCTCCTACTCCTGCTCCTCCTGCTCCTCCTCCCCTCACCTCTTGACGACGACGGCAGCTCTGCCCGAAGCCGCTTGGTGCAGCGCCGCCAGGGGGCCGGGGAGGGGGGCAGAGCGCGACGCTCCCGCCCGAAGCCCGGGCGTCTCCCGCCCCGCCTCGCCCTGGCGTTGGCGCTGCCATGTGCTCGGCGACGCGGGTCGAGTCCGAAAAGCCGGTTTCGCGTAGGAGTTCGGAAGAGGAAAGGGTACTTTGGGTTTCTTCATAAGGGTGGGGGGTGCCCCCCCGACGGGGGTCAACCTCGCGTCGTCGTCGCGCCGCGACGGGAGTCGGAGCGCCTTCGGCGCGCGGTGGCTGCCCGCGACGGGGGTCGATGTGGGGCTGTCGGCGGGGGTGACGCTCCCCCGACGCTTGTTAAGAAACTCGGAGTACCCAGACAGCTACCCTTCTCTCGTGTTCGCCCTGTTGGGGGGCCTCCTGGGAGGCCCTCGTCTCCACCGCTGCATTCGCCTGGGAATTCTGGTCAGAGCGCATCCCAGGCAAGGTCCAGGGAGTAGCAGTATCGGTGCACCCTGGTCGTTGAACGTGAGATATCTGGATCCCCGGATCCCAATCTACTTCTGGCGCCTCCCTACTTGTAGAATCGATGTGTTTTTGCCAGGTTGTGTTGTTCTCTGGGAGGGCCTGAACCCAATCTACTTTACGTGATAAGCCTTCCTATGTTCGACTATGCGTAAGAGTGACCTTTCGCCAGAGTGACCTTTGGTGCGGGCACAGATGGGTCCCCAGATGGCTGAAAACGAAGCAGCAGCAGCAGCTGCTTGCGCGCCCAAGTTTGGTCCCCCCGCGGCCCCCAAAAAGTCGCACACCAGAGGTCACTCTTACCCAGGGTCACTCTTGCGTATAGCCGATACTACAAGTTTACCCACTTCTTCCGACCGACGTGCAAACTTCCAGAGCTCCGCACGGAGCCCTTGGATCGGCGCTGAGTCCCCGCCCCCAGCAGCGCCTCTTGCGCCGCCCCTGGTGCACTCCGCGCACTGGGGGGGGGTCCAGCGCCGATCCAAGAAATCCCCACGGACCTCCGAAAGTTGTCGTTTATGTTTTTCTTTTGAGTGGGACTGACCCAGGCCTCCCATAGTGTCCGAGCAGATGGGGCTGCAGGATCGCGCCACATCGCCGTTGCATCGGCGATGCGTCTCGATATGGAGCCCGATATTCTACACGCCGGCTGCGTCGGTGCATCGCCGACGTCACCGATGCATCGGCGGTACATCGCATTACCGATGCAACGGCAATGCGGCGCGATCCTGCGACTCCTACCTACTCGGACCCCATCTGGGAGGCCTTGAAGTAGGGGGAGCGGTGGAGGGGACTGGGCAGAGCTGTTTTTTCCCACCGTTTTCGGAGAAGTGGTTCTTGAAAACGGAAATGGCAGAAAAATCAGCAGCCGGAAACGGCGGAAAACGGTTTTGGAATTGGAGCCAGAACCGGAACCGGCAAACAAACGGCGACAGAACCGGAAAAACAACGGCGCCGGAACCGGCGAACAAACGGCAAAACGGAACCAGTAACAAAACAGTTCTGGAATTGGAGCCGGAACAGGAACCGGCAAACAATTGGAGCCGGAACCTGAAGAAAAACGGCGCCAGAACCGGCGACAAAAACGGCAAAACGGAGCCCGTAAAAAAACGGCCTTGTCGTTTCCAGGGCCCACCAAGGACTGGTTCAGGGGGGAGACACTGGCCTGGAATCGGCGGCACACCGCCGAAGGATCGGCGATGGTTTCCCGCGTCGGGAGTTCCACGCTTCTTGGCAGGATTGGGGCACCCGTGCCGCGAGCGGCGATGATTGGACGATTGGAGGTCGATGCTTCCCTCCTCCTCCTCCTCCTCCTCCTCCTCCTCCTCCTCCTCATCCTCATCCTCATCCTCATCCTCCTCCTCCTCCTCCTCCTCCTCCTCCTCCTTATCCTCCTTCCCCTCCTGCCTCGTCCTCCTCCTCATCCTCCTCCTCCTCCTCATCCTGCTCCTCCTCATCTTTCTCCCCCTCCTCCCCCTCCTGCTCTTCCTCCCCCCCTCCTGCTCTTCCTCCTCCTCCTCCTCCTCCTCCTCCTCCTCCTCCTGCTCCTCCTCATCTTTCTCCCCACTTTCTCCTCCTCATCCTCCTCCTCCTCCGTCTCCTCCTCTTCTCCTCTTCTCCTCCTCTTCCTCCTTCTCCGTCTCCTCCTCTTCCTCCTCCTCTCTTTTCGTCTCCTCCTTCTCCTCCTCCTCCGTCCCCATGTTTCTGTCACAGAGGAGAGGGTCGCCAAGTGCCAAGGGGGGTATCCACCTCGGGAGGTCACCACCGCATGGGAAGCTTGGGCCGAGGAGGGCGGAAGGATCGAGGATCCAGAAAGTTTGGAATGCTCTTGGGCGCCTGTGGGCTCTTCCCTCCTTCCTCTTCCTCCTCCTCCTCCTCGTCCTCTTGCTCCTCTTCGTCCTCCTCCTTTTACTCCTCCTCCTCCTCCTCCTCCTCCTCTTTCTCCTCCTCCTCCTCCTCCTCATCATCATCATCATCATCATCATCATCGTCCTTATCTTCTTCCTCCTCTTACTTTTCCTTCTTCTCCTCCTTCCCCTCCTTTCTCTGTCTCTCTCTCTCTCTCTCTCTCTCTTATATATATATATATATATGTCTATTTCTCCTCTTTCTCTCTCTCTCTCTCGCACCCTTCCCCTGCCCTATGAGTACACACACATCTCCATGTAGTTGAAGGCTCCTACCGTGCCGCCTCGCTGGCCGACTGCCCCTTAGCCTAGGCCCTGCCACAGGGCTCGGTTTCTTGGGCCGTTCTCGTTTTGTTTTATCTCGTTCCGCAGCAAAGGCAGAACGAAGACAGAACGAAGGAGCTCGAAAGCGAATACGACAAAGCACTGTCTAGCTCGAGCTCTGCCCGGCCATGCGAACAAGATAACACAACGTCGACGTTGTCCCTTCCAGCATGCACGCTTCGCCGCCGACGTCGCAGACTGGCGCGGCAGAAGCGGGACGCCGCGCACGTCGAGCGCGAAAGGGCGACATGTCGCTCTCGCCTCGACAACGACGACGACGACGACGACGACGACGACGACGACGACGACGACGACGACTGAGAATTGAGATCCCGCTCCGGCGGGGCGCACGGTTGTCATTCGCCACTTCGTCGACGTGCGCGCAGACGAAAATGCCTCTGTCGGCTGTCGCCGCCTGAGAGTGGCGCCGCCGCCTCGGCGCTCTGCAGATCTTCCCCCCGCCAGGTTGTCTGGGGCTCGGCTGCGCCCGAGCAGGTGGCCTGGCGCCCTCGCCCCGGGCTTTCCACGCGCCCTTCGCCCCGCGGTGGCGCTCCCGCCCGGACGCGGCGCGCGTGGCGCTCGCCAGATCGCATGAAAGTGGAGCGAGCACACATGGGAAGGGGCCTTTCAGCACTGTGTCGGGGCCCACCCTATGACAGACAATACGCAGACGCTGGCTACACTTGTTGCTGCCGCTCAGGTGTTACCAACAACACTATTCTTGCACGTGTGTCTAGCCTCGGCCACCGTACCTGCTGCGGAGGCCTCAGAAACTCCACTCTCCTGGAACTGAAACTCGAATTGCTTCAAATGGACTGGTATGCTGGACTGGTCGGCTCAAGAACGCTCACCACCACCCGCACCCGCGAGCGGTTCCTCATCAGTCAAGCTAGGGCCAGTGCCATTCTCCGTGGAACCGTCGCCCGTATTCGCTATGCGGTCCGAATCCAACAGGCGCGCACCTGCGCGCCTCCAGAAGGGGAGAAGGTACTGGGCAGCCCGCGCGAGTGCGCGGGTCACCCGGCGAAAGAGCCTGCGGGTCGAGCCCCCTGGGAGGGCGGGAGCGCCATGGAGCGCCTCGGGTCCGAGGTCAAGCTCAGGCGCGGGAAAGCTAGATTCTGACAGGACCTTCAACTGCCCGGCCATGGACGGCGCCTCGGCCGTCTCATCCATACCGAGCATTCCCCACACTGGATTTGCCCACTGCGGACGGAAACGAGTCGTGACCACCCTCCAGGCGATCCCGACATGGCCGCTGGGAAGCCAGCGGACCCAAAAACTCACGGACTGGTACATTTTGGGAGAGCGGAACGCACTGTGTGTGAATTCACCCCTCGGCCTAGTGGCCGAGGAGAAGAGCAAGAGGCGCTCCAGCTCGTCAGAAAACTCCGGCTCGAGCTGCATGACTTGCTGGACCTCCAGCTCCTGGAGGAAGGCGGGCCAGTCGTCTTCATCCTCGACGAAAAACCTGCGGGTGCTGCCCTGCACGTGGACGCCTAGCAGGTCCACGCCGCGCCAAGCCGCCTCGACCAGGCCGATCGACCCATGAGTCACTGCTGACACGAGCTTCGCTGCGCTCGTGCTCACATTCGCTCCTGCAGTCACGATCTTTCCCGCAGCTGTCCCCACCTCTTCCGCAACGTCGGTCATGACGATGAGGCCCCTGGTGGCGTTGGGGAAGAGGCTGGCGGGCAAGATGCTCAGCAGCATGGCGGCCAGCACGAGCTTGCCCAGGAGGGACCCGGACGGCGCACACTTCATCAGCCACTGGAGCTGGCCGCCCTTGCCCGACTTGAGCGATTTGGCAAGAGACTTCCCCTCTGCCGCCTGCATCTTCGCGCCGGCCTTGGGCGTGGCTGGCGGCAGTGGCGGCACTACTGGCGACGGCGGCGGCGTGGCTGCGCCCCACGGCGGCACTGGCGGGTAGAAGGCCCCACCCATGCCCGGGCCCCCTGGGGTCCGCGGGGGCGTGTCCGCGCGGTGCTGCATCGGCGTGGCGGGGCCCCCCGCCGAGCTGGCCCCCGGGCTGGCCACCTCCAGCCACGAGCCCGCCTCCGAGCCCGACTCTGCGCTGCCGCGCCCTTGCGGTGCGGCGCCTTGACGCCGCTGGGCGCCCTGGTCCCCACCATCGAAGGCACGGCGGAACGTAGGGTACCAGTAGCGGGCGGCCCAGTCCAGGGCGGGCTGCAAACCGGCTGCACGTAGAGCTGTGCCTACCTGTGACGCTTGAACCACATCGATGTAGATGCGCAGCGAGGAGTCGACCCTCCATCTTCCCGTTTCCCTGATGGTCTCGAAAGGGATCCCGAGGGCGGCCGACTCCGAAGCAAAACCGGCTCGAGGGCTGTGCGGCCCCCACCCGACTTCAAGGTTGAAAGAGGCCTGCACGGTCTTAATGAGGCTACGGTACTGGGC